GGGCGGCCCGAACCTGGGCCTGGGCCTGGGCCTGGGTCTGGGCCCGGGTCTGGGCCCGGGTCTCTAGGTCTGTCTGAGTTTGGACCTGGGTCTTGCTCTGGGCCTGGGCCTGGGCCTGGGTCTGGGTCTGAGTTTGGACCTGGGTCTGGGTCTGAGCCGGGGCCGTGACATCCCACAGGTTGAACACACCACAGATTCTGGTGCTGGGTTTTGAACACAGCCCTACATGTTCCCATTCTAAACACAAAGAGATGTTTAGGCCAGTTGGTCTCACCTCTGTCCCTGGGAAGGTGATGGAGCAACTCATTCTGAATTTCGTCTCTAAACACAGTGAAGAACAGAAAGTTATTGGGAGTGGTCAGCATGGGTTTACCAAAGGTAAATAATGCTTGACCAAGCTGCCAGCCTTCTATGATGACATAACTGGTTGGCTGGATGAGAGGAGTACCAGATGTCATCTACCCTGCCTTCATCAAGGCTTGACACTGTCTCCCATAGCATCCTCATGAGGAAACTCAGGAAATGAGGGCTAAATGAGTGGACAGTGAGGTAGGTGGGTGGAGAGCTGGTGTGTGACAGAACTCAGAGGGTTGTGATCAATGGAGCAGGGTCAAGTTGGAGGCCTGTAGCCAGTGGTGTCCCCCAGGGCTCAATATTCGGTCCAGTCCTGTTCAACATATTCATCAATGACCTGAACGAGGGGACAGTGTGTGACCTCAGCAAGTTCACTGTTGACACCAAACTGGGAGGGGTGGTGACACTCCAGAGGGCTGTGCTGCCATCCAGTGTGACCTGGAAAGGCTGGAGAGCTGGGCAGAGAGGAACCTCATGAGGTTTGACAAGGGCAAGTGTAGGGTCCTGCACCTGGGGAGGAAGAACCTCAGGCACCAACACAGGCTAGAGGTGGACCTGCTGGAAAGCAGTTCTGAGGAGAAGGATCTGGGAGTCCTGGTAGATAGTAAATGATCCATGAGCCAGCAATGTGCTGGCCTTGTGGCCACAAAGATCAATGGAATCCTGGGGTGCATAGGGAATTGTGGCCAGTAGGTTGAGAGAGGTCATTCTCCCCCTCTCCTCTGCCCTGGTGAGGCCACATCTGGAGAACTGGGCCCAGTTCTGGGCTCCACAGTTCAAGACAGACATAACTATGAGCTCTCTAGAGAACAACTCCCTGGTGAGTTGTTTCTGGAATTAATAATTCTGTCCTTTGAGGATATGACAATAGTTCCCTCTGCCTTAGATGACTCTTAAGAGCACATTCCATGATGGTCTATCCTCCATTAAATAAGAAGGTAAGAATGCTGTGGGAGTTGGTAAAAACAAACAGAATCATAGAAAGGTTTGAGTTGGAAAGGACCTTAAAGATCATCTAGATCAAACACATCCCACCAGACCAGGTTGCTCCAAGCCCCATCCAATCTGCCCTTCAACACTGCCAGGGATGGGGCTTCCACAACCTCCCTAGGCAACCTGTTCCAGCATCTCCACCCTCGTAGTATCTAATCTAAATCTCCTTCTTCAAGTTTTAAACCATTGCCCCTTGTCCTCTCACTACATGCCTGTGCAAAAAGTCCTGCCCCAGCTTTCTTGTAGGCCCTTCAGGTATTGGAAAGCCACTAGTTCAGCTCGGAGCCTCCTCTTCTCCAGGCTGAACAACCCCAACTCCCTCAGCCTGTATTCACAGGGGAGCTGCTCCAGTCTCTGAACATTTTTGTGACCCTCATCTGGACTTTCTCCAGGAGCTCCATGTCCTTATGCTGGGGGCTCCAGAACTGGACAGTGCTCCAGGTGGGGTCTCACCAGAGCAGAGGGGAAGAATCACCTCTAACAAATGGGAGACAACAACCCTATGGAGCTTTCTGTGCATCATGGGAACCTGCATGACAAGCAGAAGGGAGAGCTCAGCTTACCCCCTGGGAGACAAGGAATCAAGCATCACAGCAGAGCTGAAGCCAAAACTACTCTACTAGCTAGAGCCCACATGTATGACAGATGATTGTACTGTTTGCACACTTCAACAAGAAACCATTCCTCACCTCAGGTACCATCAGCCAACACTAAAGATGAGGTAGCTGCCCACAGTACAATTTTACAAGTACAGACTAGTGAGGTGGACTGGTGATGGAGCTCCTAAGGATCAAGCACTGCCAGGGCTCAGCATCTGCTTTTATTCTCTCATGCCAGGATCATGTGGGCTGGATGGAAACCCCTTCAGTGCAGGGGACCAGAAAGGAAGGGGACATTTATCTGCTCCAGCTACTCAAGCCCCCCCCTCTGCTTCTGCTGGGAGCAGTGCTGTTGATCAGGAAGGACAGCACTCCCCCTGAGCACCACACCTGTGTACAGCTTAGAGGAAAGTGTTTGCACACCAGCCCTGGAGACATCTAAGAAGATGCGGTGCCAGGGCACAGGGTTCAGTGGTGGACATGGCAGAGTTAGGGTGGTAGTTGGACTCGATGATCTTGAAGGTCTTTTCCAACCAGAGTGGTACTGTGAGGAGTGCAGACAGCTCACTGTCTCTTTCCACGCAGGAAGGTCCCTGGGATGAATCTTGTCAAACATGCTTTGTGGCCTCTGTTCATTAAATGAAAGGAGGAAACAAAATGCAAAACATTTATTTGAGTGTGTTGTACAAAAAGTTTCCAGTCATAAAATGTATATTACAAATCATTGGAAAAGACAAGACATTTGGCATGCATATTCTAAAAAGGAAAAAAATAACACTTTGAAATGATAAAGTCTAGATCATCATGTAGTTTTCTTAAGTTCCACAGGAGCGTTTTCACCATTTTGTCTTTATTATTTCCATTTGCAACCTTTTCCCAAATTCTGTATTTTAAAAACTTGACCCTTCCAAAAACTCCTCTGCAGCAGCTGATGGAGGTGACCTAGAGCTCATTTAAGTAAAGACTGTGTTAGGGAAAAAAACAACCACACCAATCAAGTCACCAGGCATCACTTAGGAAAATAGAGTTCAACTGTGTTTTGTGTCCAAATGGAAAACATTCTGACTTAATCTTGTTTAAAATAGCTTATTGCTTGTAATTTTAGTGTGATGATGACCTGGGTAGCTGGAATACACAATAACATCCACCTTACCAACACAACTGTCACTTCATTAAAAAACTAACTAGAAAATGTGGAAGTTAAATGAAACATTTTCTTTTCCTGAACTCCAAGTCAATTCACTGCTTGTGCTCTTCTGAATGGACTCTTTCCATATTAAGCATCTACTTCGTTCTCTAGACCTTAGCATTTCAAGAAAGGCATTATGTTTACATGTAAATATGGTCTTGTATAAAAAACCAAACACTTTAAATTATTTTAAACTGGTTTAAAGCTAAGCATATTGAAGGGCAAATCAAAATTCTGTTTCCCAGGCCATATTATGTAAGAAAAGAAACTCTCCAATATAAGTGGTCTTGACATTCAGCTAAAACAATGCTCTGAAAAATGCAATCACTGTCTCACCTTCCATTCACTGGTTTACATCAAGGTGTCATTTCCTGCTCACACAGGGTTTGGACCCAACAGTGGCAATAAAATCCAGTGTCAAATATGGAGATGTCTTTGTTTAGAGATAAGACTTTCAAAAGAAGGTAAGGAAAGAAGAGACAGAATGGCTTAACAGAGAGGAAGTGATAGAAGTGGCTACAAGAGATAAAAAACCTACAACATGCATCTTTTTGTACAGCATAAACATCTGAGGCACACAAAAGAAACAGATGATCAAATTATTCTGGGGTGTAGAGAGGATTCCTACAAGCCTCTTCTAACTATCCCCTGCTAAGGCTACAGTTAAAGGGCCTTTAATAAGCATTATGAAGAAAAGGATGTAAAAACCTGAAGATGAGGTGTCCAGTTGCTCAAGGACAAATACACACATCAAGTGATCTCCTGTCACAGCCTGGCCTGTTTCACACTGCGGTACAATTTTTAGGATCAGTGCAAGCTGCAGACAAGCTCCTCTGACTTTGATATTACAGGTCATGGGAAGCAGAAGTTCCTTTTCTTCCTGAGACTTTTGGTTCCTGCTACAAACACTGTGTGATCCACACAGCAGGGTAAACTATTGTTTGTGTCAGGGCAAAACTAGGAACTAGCCTAAGTAGACATGGGGAAACAAAGCTGCACAGCAACAAGGGAATCACAGCCACTCTTTACTTGGAATAAGTCACTGCAACACAACAGATAAAGGAACAAGTACAAAAGCAAGGGAGAAAGAAGTGGCACAAAATGCTGGGGGCTCTGTGGCCACCACAGAGCAGAGCACCACATCATGGGTGGTTCTGGATGGAAGGACTTGCTCTGACAAACATTTTCACAGCATCAACACAGGAGGCAGAACTTGGTTATCATTTGACATTATTATGAGCTACACAATAAAAGATAGGTTTAACTCTTCTGCAGCAGCTATGCTGTTATTCCTTCCCTGTCTTAACCACTGAGAATGATTTAGTAATAATTGTAACTATTTCATCCAGAATAAAGTTGTTGGCTCATTCTTCTGGAGTAAGAACATCCACATAAGTAGTTACATTCAAGTAACTACTCTGATAGAAACAATATAGTGGCTCATTTCCGTAAGCTGAGAAGCCTTGAAATAATTTTTCTACAAGTCAAATCTATTTCTCCTTCAACCTCTACAGCTGGTATCAAACACTGGAGTAGAAACACTGACTATCCTCTTACTTCTTCAAGAGTGGTCCACACACAGGATCAAATAAGAGGGCAAAGGGACACTGGATTTTATGTGAACAAAAAGCTTTAATTATCCTGAAAAAAAAAATCGAAAGAAAAAAATAAACTATGCTTTTTGGTTTCATAAAGCCAAAAAACCTCCCAGTATGAAGCACCAGCTTGAAGAGGCAGTGCTGATAGATGAAGCTCAAATGCAAGAGGAAAGGATGACAGCTAGAGAAGATGCACACACAACAAAGAAAGTATGTGGAATACAGTAGGTTTTGTGTCTTGTAATTTACAGCTAGGAATTATTTCTCAAAGCACTGTGGTGACAGAACCACCCACAGTTAGACTGCTGGCATTCAGCCTTTCCCACAGTGTCAGTCACTGGTTTATATGAACACCTGAATATACCTAAACATGGTACTGAAGAATCAAACTGTTCCCAAAGGTCAAGGACACAGTTCCACAGCTAAAGACAAACTCTGCAGACTGTTGCTGAGGGCACAGTGCTCACTGCAGAAGACCTGCAGGCACCAGACCTTAAGGCTACAAGACAAAACACTACCCATACAGTAGCTGTTAAGAAAACTATGGCTCAGGTATCAAGAGGTTTTTCCTCATTCAAGCTGCCTTTTCCAGCCCATTCTTTACAGGAAAAAAAAAAACAAAAAAAAAAATCACAGAAAAATGTAAATTAACTACACACTCAGTGCTTTAGTATTTAAGATCACAGGACAATCTTAAATTTACAGGACAGTATTAAAGAAAAATAAGCAAATCTGAAACTGGCCAATGTAAAAAAATGTAAAGACAGATCTTTAGAAAACAAGCAAAAAGCCCTCAAATGTAATTATATCATAGAAGTGGTGGGTCAGAAAGGGAAATGCTGTCCAGTGGTTGGAAGGTGCATTGCAAAAATACTTTTGCATTGATTGCATTAATTTGTATAACAACAAATTTAGAAAAAGTAATTGATAACAGTATGTCTGAGAAACATAATTTCACTAGATAACATTTTACAGAGAGATAAGACATGATTTACTACATATTTAACCTTCTACTCAAGCAGAGTGGGAAAATTACATGAGAAAAATGGCCAATTACATCACTTGAGTTATTCCCTTAGCCCAAACAGCCAAATTTTCATACTGCTTCATACTTCTTTTTTGTATCTTTGGATCTTCTGATACTGGATTAAAACAACTATAAATGTCTCTTTGTTCAGCTTCAGTAATTGAGTCATCCCACTCAAACAGAGAAAAAAAGTAGCATCTTTGATTTCTTTTTAAATGGCTAAATAAATCCATAAGCTTAAAAAACCCCTTTTGTTCCCACCCTGCTTGCATTACAAAGCCACCAGTCAAAGCCACTAAACTGACCTTCTAGGTTATATCTGTCAGTCACAATACTGTTCAGAGAACATAATGTCCAAAAGCCACCGAAAACATCCAAACCTTTTATCTTGTTTGATGAGTCTATTTGAATGGCAAGAGGTCAAGAGTGCAGGTAAAAACAGGATTCTATGCTGGCATCAAAGGGTATCCAAATTTTGTATCCAAACTAATAGCTAGCGGAAAACACATTTGCTTGTACAGTAGCCAATACATTCTTTGAAGCAGTCAAGTATTTGACCTAGTGCTTAAAGATGCACCACTAGATGAATACTAACCCTTACAGGAGTTATCTCCAACAGAAATGCAGCAGAAGAAATCTTAAGCTAAAGGGACACTGTTAGGTACAAACTGCATCACACTGAAATAAAACTATCCTGCTACTCATACAAGGTATTTTTAATAAAAAATTCCTCTCCCTTCACTGGTAAGACTTGGAGCATTTGAACACTCTAAAGCTTATGCCCTGAACAACAACAGTTCCTTTTAACTTTAAGGTAAACTATTTCTGTACTATTTTGCAAATACTGCTCCTTAAGATACCTGACAATGCCCCTTTGAATATGAGAGAAAGACAAACAAGCTGCATCTAGCTCTGATGTTAAAAGTCAACATTTACACAAGATAACCTTCAAAATCCCCAATATTTATCCCTGCCAAAAGTAAAAATATCTTTAACATTTAAAAATCTTAATAATTCTGTTTAATGCTGAGTATGTCAAAAGCATTAAATCATGATGCTTAACATCGTAAGTACATCACAGCTTGTGTCCATGGTTTAACAAGGTCTTATTTGTGACAATGTCAAAACCCCCTGAAAATGACAATTAAAACTCTGGATTTGACACTTCCATACCTAAAGATAGTGTCTATATTCAGTAGGCAGAACCCACCCTTCTCCATCTTCTGAAGGAGCATTATGGAGCTAAGGTGCTGACAGACTCAGATCCTTCTACCACCAGGCTGTCATACCCTGGAGAAGGACAAGATGCCCTGGTCCTGAGCCAAGAATGTCCCAAGAAGCAGCTTCTATTTATCACTCACTTACTTCCATTGGTAGAGTGGGATTTATAATGAATATGGAGTCTAATTTTCCTAAGCAGGGAACTGAAGATACCAGGCAAGACACTATCATCATTTCCTGAAGTATGGAGGTAACACTACTGGGAATCTCTCCTGGGGCCCTGGAGATGAACACACTTATTAAACTTCTGGTTTTTTGAAGTTATCCTGGTTATAAATGCAATCTAGATTTACCACACACTCAAGGACTCTCATCCCATTTTAGCTAAAAATTTCTTTTCTGCTGCAGGTTTGTACATAAGACTTTAAATTCTGTATAGGGGAAAAATGTTGTATTCAAGATAGTGCTTCAAAAAAGGGCAAAATAAAGAAATCTATTAAAAATTCTGGCAGTTTTGTTCAGTAAAGTTTTTTTTTTTAAATTTTTTTATAAAAATGTACCAAGGAGTAAACTTCAAAGAAATCAGATGATGCATATAAAAATAGTTTTCAGTGGCTCTGGAGGGAAAAAATAGCAAAAATAAAAAGGAAATAAGTGGAAAAAAATAGCAAATAATAGGTTGGTTGTTTTGTTTTTCTTTCTTTCTTTCTTCACATCACTGAGCATCCTCTAGAAGTTGTTCTGGGATCCCCCTAAAATAAGACAGACAGAGTTGAATTCCATTCTTACTAGCTTTTCATATTTTAAGCAGAGACTCTGGTTATCACCTCAGTCATCAAAGGCATTTTTTGGTAGTTTAGTTATACTCAGGGAATACCCCAACCACACAGAAAGAACAGCACACAGCATATCTAGTGCCAGGATCCAGACACTGCTGCTCTGGTTGTGGTTTCTATGCCTGGTTGATCCCTGTGCTCTCAGCACTGACACAGGTAACAAATGGAAGCTGAGATGTCATTAACTTCAGAAGAGGAAGTGCCAGCTTTTATGTCAAATGATGTTTCTGTTTGAGAAATATCTCTGCATAGAAACTTCTGCTTCAGTTGCTTTACACTACAAATCTACTGCTCAGTCTCCTGCAGACCTAAAAATGCTTTGAGAACCCAACTTAAAAGCAGCACAGAATGAATCTTTTGTAAAAAGAGCTATTTATCAGGAAGCACTGAAAAGGCCTCTGATCAGAAGAACAATTCCCTTGAGTTTGAAATAAATCTTAAATATTTTCTGATATCAACTCTATGAAGTATCTCTCTCCTTTTCATTCTCCAGCTGCTGGTTGGTTTTTTCACATATTTAATTAAGGGTTGAGAAAACAGCTGTTATTATTAAGAAAAACCAAGTGTATTTGAGAGGTAGCTGAAGTTTGCAGCAACAGAAGCACTCCCCCTTTCCTGGTTTTTAGTGATTATAATTCCTAATGGTTATATTCCACTTACAGTAGGAATCCCACAGACTATTTTACAGAGGAGCAAGTACTGGAATGCGAGAAACACTGACTGCTAAAACTAATCTTACTAATCCTAAAAACAGTCCATGTCACTGCAATGCTGTAAATGTGACTTGTTGCATACTCCCAATAGATACCCTGGCATCCAGCCCCTGCTTGAGCTGCACTATGATTGCTTCAAGGAGCAATTCCAGGAAGAACTGTTCCCAGGACACTGCACTGCAGCAGGGCTGCAAGCCATTCTGAGACTGTCCTCTGCAGCCACTGGAAAGAATGGACCAGGAAGCTCAGAGCTGACCAAAGCTGAAGGGACTCCCTTAAATTTTCTGTCTGATTTATCCAACCAATGAGGCACAAGTTAAACATCTCGTCTGCATCTTATTACCTGTTGATTGAAAAGGTCTTCCTCTCCAAACTCTGCTTCATCCTCTTCCTCTTCGTTCTCTCGCATGACTACTGATTTAGTAACATTTCTCACTGCAACTTCCTACACAAAATGACAGGTAAGAGACAAATAGAGGCTACTGGCCATCTCCTTCAGTTTCTGCTATGCCATCAATACAATACCCCTATTAAATGTTAGAGCATTTAAAGCAACCTACATTTAATGTTAGCTATGCAACCAAATATTGGCAATATCCTGCAAGCCACATCAACATTTTTATTTCTCTCCACTAAAAGGCTTGGTAATATTATTTAGCTTCAGGAATTTTATTACCTAGGGATTTTAGAGAAAGCAGCCACGTTTCAGGAGGTCTTTAGGAAATTTTATACAAGCTCATGGCAGACCCAACCCTATAGGAGCTTCCTGAGACCTTCTGTGAGAACCCAAAGTTTCTCAGTATGATCACCCAGCATTAAGGATACTCCTTATTCCTACTAAGTATTCTGTATCAATTGCATATATAAATTATCAGGACAGTCTTCTAAAACAGGCACTAAAAAAGAATTCTAAAACCCCTGAAAAGCTTCCCTTATACTAAATTATTTTAACACATCATGGTGGTAAGAAATTCTTCTGTACATTTGCATCCTTGAAATCATAGGTGCTAATTTCTACTTGTGGAACAAGTTGTCCTAAACATACACTTCTAAGAAGGGATACTAAAGGTAACCAGAGTAGGAATAGAAACTGATTTGAAGTATTTTTCAGACACTTCTATTTGAATACTCAGCCAGTTAGCTTCCTATTAGTACAAATTATCCTCCTTCCTACCTTGTTCTGCTTTTCCTGAACGGAGTGCTTCCACAGAACTGCCAGCAAGAAAAGCAGCATAAAAACTGAGGCAAACGTGGCTTCTTTCACTTTCCTATTTCTATCATATCACTGGGATAATGGCACATTTATCAATAACAAACCAGGGAAAAAAATGTCTATGGATGTAAACAGGATCAGTTTTTCAAAGTTTCCCAAAAATCTCAAGATACGTACAGATATTTAATTATTTCAGTGTTACAAACTGTCTTATTTTAGAAGTCAACAGGGGAGATAGGATGCCATTGGAGTAGGATCTACTCGCCAGTGTGGCCACCAGCAGCCTGGCTTGTGTCAGCACTAGTGTAGCCAGCAGGACCAGGGCAGGGATTGTCCCCCTGTGCACTGGTGAGGCCACACCTTGAATCCTGGGGTCAGTTTTGGGCCCCTCACCACAAAAAGGACATGGAGGGGCTGGTGCGTGTCCAGAGAAGGGCTGTGGAGCCGGGGAAGGGGCTGGAGCACAAGTGTGAGCAGGAGCAGCTGAGGGAGCTGGGGGTTCAGCCTGGAGACAAGGAGGTGAGGGGAGACCTGCTGGCTCTGCAGCTGCCTAAGAGGAGGCTGAAGCTGGGGGGGGAGGGGGCGGTGTCAGTCTCTCCAACCAAGTAACTAGTGATGGGACAAGAGGTCTTATGTGCCAGGGGAGGTTTAGAGTGGATACTGGGAACAGCTTCTTCCCCAAAAGGGTGGTCAGTCCCAGGAATAGGCTGCCCAGAGAAATGGTGGCATCACTATCCCTGGAGGTGATCAAAAAATGTGTAAATGTGGCACTTCAGGACATGGTTTACCAGGGATGGTGGTGTTGAGTTGACAGTTGGATTTGATCTGAGAGGTCTTTTCCAACCTCAATGATTCTATGCAGCAGAACAGGAGAAAATTGTTTCAAGTTGTGCCAGGGGAGGTTTAGATTGGGCATCAGAAGAAATACCTTCACTGAAAGGGTAATTAAACACTGGCACAGGCTGCTCAAGGATGTGGCTGAATCACTACCCCTGGGGGCACTTAAAAGACACATAGATGTGCTTAGGAATACAGTTTAGCACTGTACTCTGCACAGTTGGACTTGATGATCTTAAAGGTCTTCTTAACCAGAACAAGTTTCTTAAACATCAGGATTTTATCACAGTCATCTCCCCCACCCCTGAATCAAAGTCTGAGAGATAACCCAGCCCACAGGTTTTTTCCTACCTCTCCTTCAGAGTTGACGAGGTATGTGCGGATAGTTCCCCCTGTGCCCCAGCTGCCTTGATTCTTCCACACCAGCACAGAAGGGGGGCTGTGAGATACACCTGCATCTGCACCCCAAATCTAGTGAAAAAGATACTCTGTAAGTAGCTATTCATGCACGTTTTAAGTATAAAGAACCCTTTAATTCTCCTTCTTTCTACACACCAGTTTCTACAGTTTGACAGTTTCTACACACTGCCAATTCCAATGGCAGTTTTACTCTGCTTTTAACTACACTACTTCTACCAAGATATTATTCTCAGTCTACAATAAAAAGTAACAATAGCCATAAAAAAAAAAAAACAAGAAAAAATTATCTAGCATTGCAGTCATCAATTCTTTTCTGAACATGCACATTTCTCCTACCATTGTCTCAAGGACTATACCATATGTAGAAGACAAAATGCACTTATAGTCTATCAATTTAATCTTTTATCTGTATCTCAACAATTGATACTTAAGTGGAAACAACTGGAACTGATAAAAAGAAAGCCATTTTTATATTCCCAAAATACAGCTGTTGCAGACTTAACATGAAATACAAAATTATAGAAAAGCAGCTGTTCTACTACAGTTAAGGCTGTAGTATCTAGTCTTAAAGTCTACTAGACTGAACAAATGCTCTGAAATGTTCCTTTTTTTATTAAGAGGTTGAGTGGAATCAGTGTTCCAAACTTGGGCAAAGGTGTCTGAAAACAAACAGACCTTGACCCAGACCCCAAAATACTCTCTTCTTTTTCTTCAACTTTCCCTGTACCCAAAATAGTCTGAAATACTGAAGTGCTAATAGAGAAATTAAATTTCTGGTTTGCATTTTTTGTAATGGAAATCCTGCTCCTCTGAAGTGAGATCCATGAAACCAAGAGTTACACAATAAACCAGGCTGTACCAAACATCAGATTTATAACTGCCACAGCATCAACAAAATATGTTTTTGACATACTCTTAAGTACAACTTACTGTTACAGTCTGGCCAGCTCTGAGGACATACTTAGGAGTAAATTTGTAAGCAATTTCTTCTCCATCTCCAATTTGTCGTTTCAGTCTCCAATTACCCAAAGACTGATCCTAATGGGGAGAGTCATAAGGTTATTTAGGGTGAGCAAAACAGAGCAAAGTGGAATCGGAGCTCTTTGTAATTAATGGGAAAGTAATTTTGTTTACATGGTTGTTAGACATCTGTATTCAAACTCAAAAGTGTTCTTCTATCGTTTGAAGTGTAAATCCCACAAGGTTGTTAGCAAAATTGAAAAAGATACATATTTCACATAAAAAAGTTCTGCTAGACACAGAAAGGCTACTTACATGAACAAGGTACCAGCACACATGGTTAGACATTTGGGACACAAACCGTGCTCCGTTCCTTCAGCAAACACAAACACACACACACACACACACTATAACGTTCAAATTTCAAACGCCCCAGTTAATTACTGCAAGATGTGGCTCCTGCTCTGCAAGTGACTCCACCTACTTGTGCTACAAAAGCCTGTGTAAGATTTCAGTGTAGCTCCTCCTCCTGCCTTTCTAGGAGTTCTACTGACACTCACCTTCTCCGAGTTGTTCTTCAGCTGAACATATTTGCCCTCCAGGTCTATCTCTTCTATGCTGATACTTCCTGTAGCTGAAGCTTGCTGGGACATCTGGAAGCTACTGGTGCTGCTGCTGCCACTAATACTTCCAGTGCCAATTCCACTTGTTCCACTGCCAGAGAGCTCCTCTGCTTCAATACGTTTTCTTTTGCCTCGGGAAGAGCGAACGAGCGAAGTGCTGCTGCTGCTGCTGCTGGAGGTAGCCCGAGAGACTGTAACACGGGAGGAGGGACTTGGAGAGAGCTTCAACCTGAATAGAATGAAGAAAACATTTTAATTAACTCATCCAGGGAGCTACACACCAAGCAACAATGCCACAAGGTACTCAGGAACTGGACTATGGCACATCCAAAGGCTGGAAGCAGCCTCAGTTTTTGTCAGGACCACATGTAACAGAAGGGGGAGATCAGTACTAATGAGAACAACACAGATCACTCAAGCCTCCCCTCTAGTGTATCTACTACTAAACACACTATTACTGGGCCACATCATTTAAAAAATTGGAAAACACAGAAGCACTTAAACAGAGATTAATGTCAAGCACAATTATATATTCCACTGTATTCAGACCACTGTACCAACAAAAATATAAAGACATAGTGCAGGTGAGAACACGTGCAAGTGTTCCATGCAACAGATTGTGCTGTGAAGCCAATATCACTTCAGTGAGGCAGACTGGACATTCCTGCTCAAATGATTAAAAAAAAGCATAAGAAATGAAAAAACCCACCTGCTAGTCCCAAGAAAATACAGAATCTCTACGTACCTTTCCTCTTCTCCTTCCAGGAGTTTTCGGTAAGCACTGATCTCCATGTCCAGTGCTAATTTAACATCAAGCAGCTCCTGGTACTCTGTGAGCTGCAGCTGCATCTGGTCCCTCATATCAGTCATTTCCCTCTCTTTTGCATCTAGCATCTTCCTGAACTTCTCCCGCTCCGCAGCCATCATCTCCTCCAGCTCACGGATGCGATCTTCTGCTGCACTAGCCTAGGGAGACAGCACCATGGAAACCCAGCTGACAGACATGTGGGTACAGGAAAAAAGTTCAGAATTCATCTCTTTCCCAAATGATGATAACAAAAGACATCTCTCCATGACATTCAGAAAATCTTAAAGGACAGAAATGTTAATATATCCAAACAACAGTGCTTCACAGAAAGATGTGAACCTGTTGGAATGTGTCCAGAGAAGGGCCAAAAAAAAAAATAATGATCTGAGGGCTGGAGCAGCTCTCATGAAGACAGGTTGAGGGAGTTGGGCTTGTTCAGCCTGGAGAAAAGAAGGTTCCAGGGGGACCTCCTAGCGACCTTCCAGTGCCTGAAGGGGCTACAGGAAAGCTGGGGAGGGACTTGGAACAAGTAGTGAGACAACAAGGGGAATGGTTTTAATAAATTGAAAGAGGAAAGATTTAGGTTAGAGATCAGGAAGAAATTCTTGAGTGTGAGGGTGATGAGACACTTGAACAGGTTGCCCAGAGAAGCTGTGGCTGCCCCACCCCTGGAAGTGTTGAAAGGCAGGTTGGATGGGGCTCTGAGCAACTTTGTCTATTGGGTGGTGTCCCTGCCCATGCAGGGGAGTTGGACTCGATCTTTAAGGTCCCTGCCAACTCAAACCATTTCTATGGTTCTGTGATTCTATGTTAGAAATGAAAGCAAATTTAGTCCCTTTACCTGTTTCTGAAGGCCAGAAAGCTGGTAGCTCAGAGCCTCTATTCTCATGCGGGCCTCCTTCAGCTCCTCCCGAGCTGCACCAGCAGCTTTGTCATTTTGGTCAGAGGACAGCTTGGCATTCTCCAGCTGGAAGGCAAGTTTTAAACAAGCTATGTCAAGTTAGAGATCCTGCAAATATCCTTTTGGTAAAAAACAGAGGTTATACATTCTTAAATATTTTTAAAAGGAAATCTGGGAAGTTTATGGTAAGAATTGCATAATATTAAGGAAATACCCTAAGGACCAGGAAAATCTATTTGAGTTCTATTCCTATAGGACTTGCTTATGTTATTAACAAGAAATCCACTAGCCCTTCCATTACACAACCAGCCCTATAGTTTTCAAAAACTGAGGTTCATGTGATCACAACATCTGCCTGTTTGCCCCAAGAAGTGGGTTAGAACAAAGGTTGCTGGTTCACATCCTGCTGTAACAGCTCCCTGGATGCCCAGGGACTAAGCCCAATGGCTACCATGTCTTAGCTGGCCATTGGCAACTCAAGACTTCCTAAGCCAGAGACACTATTTTAAAACTTACTGTCTTCTCAGTGGATCTTTCAGGTAGGAATTTGTCTCTGCTTTTTGAATTTATAAGGCAAGGAGTTTAGCTCGATATTAACAGAACAATATAACAGAACAGTATCTGCTCGATATTAGCAGAACAACCTTATTTTGCTTTTCCCCAAAATCTGTGTCTGGCCATTCACTGTCCATACTTCTACCAAAAACTAAGATACAATCACTCCTCATTCACCTTCTCTGTGCTGTTCAAGCTGATGATACCACGGGTGTGGAGTAGCTGACATCCTAGAGGGAAGGGATGCCATCCAGAGAGACCCTCACAGGCTGGAGAGGTGGGCCCATCCCAACCTCATTAAGTTCATCAAGGCCAAGTGCTGGGTCCTGCCCCTGGGTTGCTGCAACCTCAGGCACAAACACAGCCTGGGGGAAGAATGGCTGGAGAGCAGCCCTGAGGAGAAGGGCTTGGGGATGGGAGGAGATGAGAAGCTGGACATGAGTCATCAGTGAGCACTGGAGCCCAGAGAGGCTGCATCACAAGAAGTGTGGCCAGCAGGGCCAGGGAGGGGATTCTTCTCCTCCTCTGGTGACACCGCATCTGGAGTGCTGTGTACAGCTCTGGAGCCCTCAGCACAGGAGACATGGAACTGCTGGAGTTGACCTGCTAGAAAGCAGCCCCATGGAGAAGGACCTTGTGGATGGCAGAAACAGCACCAAGTGACAACACAGGAAGTTCCACCTCAACACGAGGAGAAATTTCTTTGCTGTGAGGGTGAGGGAAACCTGGGACAGGCTGCGCAGAGAGGTTGTGGAGTCTCCTTCTCTGGAGACTTTCAAGACCCATCTGGACACGTTCCTGTGTGACTTGCCCAGCTGTTCCTGCTGCAGCAGGGGGCGCTGGACTTGATCTTCAGAGGTCCCTTCCAACCCCTGTGATTCTATGACATCATACTCCCTAACAGTTCCTCATGCTTTCTGTGAACACATCTTGATACAGAAATCCATATAACAAATCTCACAGCTAAGGCTGTCTCAGAAGCAACAGGTCTCACATCTTTGGGGGAACTTGTGAGCTGGAAAACCCCTGGCTCATGTAAAAGGGAATGAAGGTACCATGAAAAAATATTTCAAAAGCTAGTTTCAAAACTCAGCTACTTCACTCTATAAATATTGATATCAGGATGGGTTCAATTTGAGTCCTTCCTGAACAGCAGCTGGACTGCATGCCAGGTCCCCTTGAGCAGGGACACCTCTCAATCTTTGAGATTCTTTACCTGAAACTACGAGCTCCTTCTTTACTCAAGGCAGGGAGTTCCCTCACCTGTGACAGGTCCTCAGTAAGTGACTGACTATAAGCTGTGAAACGTTATCCCTCCACTCTGGAGAAATAAGCGAATCAAATTATATCAATAAAACATCCTTTTAGCAAAAGAACATTGTCTAATCAGCTGTGGTATAACATCCACAATTCCCACTCTGTCCTCTGCAGTGGCCAACAGTTCAATGTGTTTTCATACAAACTGGCCTTTTTTAGTTAAAACTATTCCAAGGACTGTAACCTTTCTGGAAATACATCTACACACAAGCAGCAGAGGAGGCTTTTGAACACCAGGACAAAGCTTCTTCTAATGAATAATGATTTGTCTCCTTAAAGACAGCAGGGCTAATGGAAGTTGTTTTATCTCACTAACTGGACTCCCTGCCAGACGGTGCTGTGGACAGCATCCCTTACCTTAGCCTGATAGGTCTGCTCGAGCTCCATCTTGTACAGTTTGACTTGTTCATCATGTTGATTTCGCAGATCCTCCAGGGCCTGAGTCATTTTGGATTCATACTCCTGTTGGCGACTAGTGTCCACCTCGATCAAACGATGTTCATGGCGTTTTCTTGTTTCCCTTATTTCCTACACAGACAACACAAAAAAAAGGGGGGGCAAACTCTCACATTAGGGTAAACCATACAAGAAATTACATTCAGACAACAATTAACTATTTCAATACTAATTATTTAGTATACAGAAGCTCAAGTACTAAAGGCATTTAAGCCTAAGAATACCACATGTACCAACAGAAGACTGTTCTCATTTGGCAGGACATAATTCTTCAAAGTGATCTGACTTAAAGTTGCATTAAAGTTTAAAAATCCCCATACACAGCTTAAGTAGAGAGCTGTTTTATGCTACAAAAGTAAAACTGGGGCAAGCGGGAAGAAAAACATGATTTTTTACATAGTGAAGAGAAATTCAATGTGCTGCATCTCAAACCCCTTCCTTCTCAATGCACATCCCTATGTTACAGTCTACAAGGGGTCAGATAAACATGAATACCTTCTGTGAACTTCATACATTTTGAAAAAATAGTCAGAGAAAAAAAGCATCTTCAGAATTCACTTTAAAGCATCTTCTATCTATTGGATGACCTATATGACTCCTGTATGACTGGACTGCCCCCTCCCTAGAGGTGTTCCAAGTCCAGGTTGGACAGGGCTTTGGTGCAACCTGGTCCAGTTGGAAGTGTCCCTGCCCTTGCAGGGGGGTTGGAACTAGATGATCTTCTAGGTCCCTTCCAACCCAGACCATTCTGATTCTATGATCTCTACACATGAGATTTTCTTTGCATTAGCAATAAAGCAGCAACCCAAGCAATCTTGAAGACATTTTTATTGGTCAGAGTTTGTACTAAGAAATTTTCATCTTTAGAGAAGCAAGTTCTGTGCCTAGAACACTGGTCCCAAACTAGCGAGGTCAGACTCCCTCATGCACTTCTACATGTTGAGCCCTGCAGAGACCAGGCCAGGCCTGAGTGCAGAATATGAGAAAGAAACAATTTCTCCCTCCAAAGCAGGACAAACAACAACAGAGCAGTTTCAAGTACTGGGAGAAGGCCTGAAGAACCTGGTATGTACTTACTATTCCATACCCTCATCAGCTCCCTCCCACTACTAGTCACAATCCTCTATCTCAACCTACAAGTAGGTACTCCTAATATTAGAATTAACTCCTCCCACACTCACCAACTCCAGAACTAGTAAGTATCCTATCAAGCCCAGCCCTACTAATAGCATTAGTAGCAGACCTGAAGGGAAGCAGCAAGGCCATGAGCAAGAACAGCAGGCAAGTGAAGAAGGCTCACTTCGCATGCCTGACCTGGAGTTAACACCAATTCAGAGCTACCTTACAAGTTGTTTTGCAGAAATGCTCAGACATCTAAAAACAGACTCTTAGAAACATACCCTTCTGCTCACAGCAATGTGACTTGATGTGATCTGGAAGAAGCTTTTCCTTCTGTGGCAAATCTTTATGCCAAGAAAATTGCCAAACAGCACCCTCTCACTAACAATGACCCCTCAATGGCCACAAAAATATCACAGCGGACTACACAGTATCAAGTGAAGGGCCGAGCTGATCTTTCACTTCAGCTACACTCCCCAGTCATGATGCTGTAACTCCAGCTAGCTTTGGACGCTTCACTGAACCAAATTAATTCACTAACCTAAAGGAAACCAATTCCTTTTCTATTTTGTGTGCTGACTTAGTCCATACAAGGATCAAAGAGCTCCAGATGGCTCAAGGAACATCCCTACTGCAGCACAGCAAGCTTTAAGATTAGCTTCTGCTGTCTCACTTAGCTTCACCTTTAGTCAGCAGCAACAAGATTTTCCTTGGGAAACAAAGTTACTTTAAAGTCCTACAACCAAGCAAGGGTCTGTCACTGCAGTCCCGTGCAGCAATCCAGGGCACAGAAGCGAGACAATAGTTAGTACAACTCGGGTAGATCTAACTGACTGGTTTCTTCACCCTCCTCCAGCCCCAGCCCTTAGCAACATAGCCCTGCCCTAAGTATTTTACTAATAAATCAGGATGAAACAGTTTGGTGCATGGCATGCCAAACATCACAACTAGCACAGGTAAAATGAAAGCAGTGTATACAATAATCCCTCAGCAGCCACTACTTTAATGAGCTCACAGAAGAACCAAAAGGTCAGAGCTGGTTTTCACAAGATTGAATAAACAGGCAACACTTCTGATCTGGTACAGAGAAGGTCATACTTCCCTTTCCCAGTCCCCACCCGTGCATTCCCACAATTTATAAAAACTCTGACCCTCACTAGAACTACTATGAGCCAACTCAATTCACTGAGCAGACAGAAAACTACCCCTGCAAAAAAACAAACAACAGGGTAACTGCATATTCTTCTTATCAACAAAAACAGATTATAGTCAGGTCCAACAATCATCAAAGGTGGTGCAGGTAAGAAGCAAGGCTATGCAACCAGACCCAGAGAGAGACAAAGATTTTCTCACAGCACTCAGCTGCTACTCGTACCCATGGAACGATAATACCCTTGTCACTCGGCTCTCATGCCAGCTCTGCCACTGATCTACCTGGACTAGTTAGTAATTGCTTATAGTCAGTTTGAATACAAGCCACATAAACTTCAGACTATGATGAGGTTACTAGGTTGATAATACCTCCTCAAACACATTCTTCCTGAAATCCAGATCCTCTTGCAAGCTCTGGCACCGGTTCTCCAGGTCCACACGCATAAGTGTCTCCTTCTCCAACTGCTTCTTAGCCACAGCATGACCATCTTCAGCCTAGTAAAGAATTTTAAAGATAAAGTTTTAATTTTGTCTGGATCTTTATTTTCCATGTATAATCCCTTTATAATATTCATTTGACATCTTAGGAATAATTATTCATAACAAATCTAATGTCAAGCCACGGATTTCAAACAAACAGCAACCAACAAAAAAGAAAGAGTGCATGTGTGCTTATGAATATTTACAATAAGCTTTCGTGTTTGCGTACCAGTTATTTAAAGCATGGGATTATTTCCATGCAGTATGATAATGGAGTTGAGGACTAATAATTCCTCAAACACAATGTGTTTTATGTTCTTTTTTTCTTGCTAGTATAGGTCCACTGGGTACTCAGCACAATTTTAAAATTATGCAGGACCTTACAAAGAACAACATTTAGTAACCTGATTTCTCATGAATACAGAAACATCAGAACTTTTTAAATAAAAGCTTTTGACTGGCAAAATGTATTAAACAAGATGCTACTTTGATTGGTTTACAGGGATTTCTTAAAATTTAGTTTGATATTCAAGAAGGGAAGGCAAAGGTTC